AAAATGGTGTTGCCTTGGTGGCTTTTCTTGTCAGTTGTTAAGATGTTCCCCAAAGCTAATTTAGGAGTCACCTTATTTCTGGAATATTCCAGTCTAAGTAGTGGTAAAGTGCTAAGAGTTAATGACAATGAAAGGGCAAAGCCGTGGCCAACAGTCATGGTCCAATAAAGCCAAGTCTATTCTCCTTCAGGGCTCAGTTCAGGATCCATCTGTTTAGCCAGATTTTTTCCTAATTGAGAAGAAGGCAGTTCCTTAATTTCAAAATTGCATCATTTCATTTTATTTTGATGGCTTTACTTTTATATGTATAGTTCCTGTGACATTTAATATTGGTATATTTTTAGAAATAAAAGTCTATAATGATTTAGCCTTTGAGCAGATTTTATTGTTAAAAATAATAGTGATGCAAGGAATTACATAGTTTATACAAAACATGCCAAACTTATTTTAAAACTTATATTTTTGGGGCACCTGTGTGAATCAGTGGGTTAAGCCTCTGCCTTTGGCTCAGGTCATGATCTCAGGGTCCTGGGATAGAGCCCCACATCAGGCTCTCTGCTCAGCAGGGAGCCTGCTTCCTTCCCCCCTCTCTCTGTCTGCCTCTCTGCCTACTTGAGATCTCTGTCAAATAAATAAATAAAATCTTAAAAAAAAAAACTTGTATTTTTATAAATTACTCTATGGAAATTCTTTGCTGTGTGTAAGACTTTATTCTGAAACAAAAGATTCCACATACATAAATTAATAAAAGAACAAAACAAAACTTAGTTCCTCCAGGGGAAAAAAAAATCCTTTAAAAAAAAAATCTCATTCCCATAATGATTGCCTAAGACTAGTGGTTCTCAAAGTCTGGTCTCTGGACAAGCATAATTTTTGTACTTGTTAGAAATGCAGATTCTCAGGTGCCACCCACACCTACCGAATCAGAAACTCAGAGTAGAGCATATCCGTCTGAGTTTTGACAATCTCCCCCATAAAATTCTGATGCCCATTACAGTTTAAGAACTAGCTTAGACTATAGAATGTAAATTAAGAAAGGTCTGAATTTCTGGGTAGACTCATTGGTTCTCCCTGAATCTCAGTCCTGCCTACTGATCCCACTCGAGACTGTTTTCAAGACCCCAGTCCAGAGCAATCGAATCAGAATCTCAGCTTCAGCATTTTAAAAAGTTCTTTGGTGGTTCTAATGAGCAGCAGGACTGAGAGACGCTGTGATGAGTTACGCGTACTTGTTCCATAAGTCAAGCATAGGCTGTATCTGCAGCAGAGACTAATGTGTGGTTAATCCTGCTGCCCTTTTCTGTTGACCCTACTTCCTAGCTTTTCCTCCTGATCCCATTAGCTGAACCTACAGAGATCTGAAGAGAGCATGGATTGGCTGCCGGAGTAGCTTACATGAGTTGCTCCTATTTGGGGAACTTTTATGTTTGACTTAAAAATTAGCCAGCTGTCCTAGCTTTTTGTCTTAACCCTTTCAGTTTTCCACAGTATAATCAACATTATCTTTCTAAAACAAATCTGATCATGTCTAAACCCTTTCTCACATTGATTTTTATTTTAATTCCAGTATAGTTAACATACAGTGTGACATTAGTTTCAGGTGTACAATATAGTGATTCAACAATTCTGTACATTACTCAGTGCTCAGTGTGATAAGTGTACTCTAATCCTCTTCACCTATTTCCTCCAGACCCCTACCCCTTCCTTCTGGTAACCATCGGTTTGTTCTCTGCAATTAAGAGTCTGTTTCTTGGTTTATCTCTCTCTCTCCCCCGCCCCTCCTCCCTTTCCACCCCTCCCCCCTCCCCCCCTTTTTCCCCTATCTCTCCCCCTCTTCCCCTTTGTCTTATTTCTTAAATTCCACATATAAGTAAAAGAATATGGTATTTGTCTTTCTCTGACTTATTTGGTTGGCATTATACTCTCCTACTCTATCCATGTTCTTGTAAACGGTAAGATTTAATTCTTTTTATGGCTGAATAATATTCCACTGCACATATAAAACACCTCTTTATCCATCCATCAGTGGACACTTGGGCTGTTTCCATAACTTTGCTGCACCAGTCTGCATTCCCACAAATAGAGCAAAAGGGTTCTTCTCCACATCATCACCAACACTTGTGTCTTATGTTTTTGATTTCAGCCTTTCTGACAGTTGTGAGGTGATAGGTCATTGTAGTTTTGATTTGCGTTTCCCTGACGGTGAGTGATATTGAGCATCTTTTCATGTGTATTCTGGCTGTCTGGATGTCTTCTTTGAAGAAATGTCTGGCCACGTCTTCTGCCCTTTTTTAATTGGATTATTTTTTGAGTGTTGAGCTTTATAAATTCTTCCTATGACCCAGCAATTGCACTACTGGGTATTTACCCTAAAGATAAATTCTTTATATATTTTAGATACTAGCCCTTTATCAGGTATATCATCTGAAAATATTTCATCCAATTTTTTACGTTGTCTTTTAGTTTTGTTGATTGTTTACTTCACTGTACAGAAGCTTTTTATTTTGATGTGATCCCAGTACTTTATTTTTGCTTTTATTTCTTTGGTCTCAGGAGACCAATCTAGAAAAATGTTGCTAGCCCTGATGTTAGAGAAACTTCTGACTGTGTTCTCTGTAAGGATGTTTATGGTTTCATATCTCACATATATAGGTCTTTAATCCATTCTGAGTTTATATTTTTGTGTATTATCTAAGAAAGTGGTCCAGTTTCATTCTTTTGCATGTGGATGTCCAGTTTTCCTAACATCATTTGTTGAAGAGACGGTCTTTTTCCCATTGTATATTCTTTTTTCCTTTGTCAAAGCTTAATTGGCCATAAAATTTTGGGTTTATTTTTGGGTTTTCTATTCTGTTCTATTGACCTATGTGTCTATTTTTATGCCAGTGCCATGTTGCTTTGATTACTACAGCTTTGTAATATAACTTGAAGTCTGGAATTGTGATACCTCCAGTTTTGTCTTTCTTTTTAAAGATTGCTTTGGCTATTCTAGGTCCTTTGTAGTCACATACTAATTTTAGAATTGTTCTAAGCCTGTGAAAAATGTTTTCAGTATTTTGGTGGGGATTTCATTAAATGTGTAGACTGCTTTGAGTAGTATAGACATTTTAACAATGTTTCTTCTTCCATTCCATGAGTAGATCATGTCCAAACTCTTAAAAATGGCTTGCTAGGCTGTGCCTAAGTTCTTGCTTCCTCTATCCACCATTCTCTTCCCCAAATTCCTCCTGTGCTGCAGACATACTAAATGTTTAATCTGTTAGTTTGAACCCAGCATGTTTTCTCTTTCCTCCTATCAGCAGATCACATGCTATTCGAGAGAATACTTGGAACAATGCTCTCTGACAGGTGGTCTCCTCACCATCACCCATTCATCCAAGTCTTTGATATGATGTCTTTCAAGAAAACTTAACTAGGGGCTCCTGGGTGGCTCAATGGGTTAAAGCCTCTGCCTTAGGCTCAGGTCATGATCCCAGGGTCCTCGGATCGAGCCCTGTATCAGGCTCTCTGCTAGGCGGGGAGCCTGCTTCCCCCTTTCTCTCTGCTTGCCTCTCTGCCTACTTGTGATCTCTGTCTGACTTGTGATATCTGTGAAATAAATAAATAAAATCTTTAAAAAAAATTAAAAAAAAAAAAAACTTAACTGATCATTGAAGCTTGGGATAACACTCTGAGGTTCCTTAGAATCTGCTTTATAGTACTTTGGTATATAGGTTGCTTACTTATCTCAAATTCCCAGTGGACTGGAAAATTTAAAAAGGTATTTTTCATATATTTATCATTAAATTTTTATTCCTACATCTAGCACAGAGCCTACACAAATCACACAGTGTTTTCAATAAACTTTTATTAAGTAAATGAAAAAATGATTTTAAAGCAACTTAGAGAGAGCCAACATAACCAAATAGCAAATTAAAAATAGACAAGAAATGCACCAAAGAAAAAAGCAAAAAGGTAATATAGAGTCCGAGTGAAAGCTGTGCATTAATTGCAGTGATGGACCTAGGATCCAGATGGATGAGCTCCCAGGTAAATGGCCTTGTTCCTATACCAGCCTGACACTTTAACCCTTTTCTCTCCACCTTCCATGAAAATACTATCTTTTGGCAAAACACTTCAGAGATGCCATTGTCTCTTAAAGGAAGTCCATATCTCTCCATTTGTCAGTATTTCCCATACTTTGTTCCTCAAGCACTAGATCTGTAAAATTTTAATAAATCTGTCCTATAAAACTGTTCCATGGTCAAATAAGTTTGGGAGGTACTAGATTAAATTAAGCTGTTTTCTTTAGTGCAGGCACATTCAGAATGTTTATTATGCTTAAGTACTTTGTAAATCTCAAAAAAAATTTTTTGAGAGACAGCTTGCAGAATTAATTGTTGATATACTGAAACAATTTGAGAAACACTGGCTTAAAAGTATGAGTAAATTTTTCAGTCCAAAAAGTTCAGAGAAAAAAAGAGAGGGAGGTGTTGCAGAGAGATTGCCTCCATCCCTTTAGAAACTAATTGATCAATTATTTTTTGAACTATGTGAACTTTGTGAGCTCAAAGCAAAAATCTATATATAAAAATAGGGACTATATATATATTTTTTCCAAGGCTATTAAAAAGTATGCATTAAGTGTATGCAGCATACAATATGATAAGTATAGGATATTGATCTTTCTATAACTACACACTCTTGTGGAACATACAATTCACTTTGGGCAAAGATGTTCTGCCTTGCAAGGACTATAAATATATAACCGTTCAGGGAAAAAGCTAGCAATATGTCAGCTAAAATGGATAAGGAAAATAAAGATTTAGGAGAGACCTTCATTGGCCCTAAGGGAGAATAGTATGAGACCTTTTTGGAGTCTTGGAACTTGGGGTTAAGTTTACATTGAATACAGTGGAATGAGGCACCATTCATTTCCAAAGTTAGATTTTGGGTGTCAATGAGTAGCTTTAGTAGGTATCTTTACTTTGTGTGCATATTTATACTTAGGAACTTCTTAGGAGAAAAGGTGCAGACACTTTGACTGGGATCTCAAGGAATGAAACCCTAATTGACTGACCAGAGTGGAACCAGGTGAGTGAATCTTGATTATTCTCAGGCCTGAGTTCCTCAGAAAGAAACTCCTCTCAGTAAGGGAGGCTGAGCCAGAGACCAACACTTGAGTGTGCCAAGATCTCATTTATCAGAAGAAAGTTATCTTTTCAGGCACATTGTCCTCTTAATTTTTTAACTTTTCTAAGCAGTCATTCTGCCACTGAGGGAAAATTTAAGAGACCGACAATTTGAGAGGTTCATGTCATAAACATTTCAAGTTTCTTTTATACATGGAGACATGGAAGTGTTCAGTGTAGGATCCCTAACTTGGCTTATCTTAGAGGGGCCTAGTGGACTCTGTGTGTGTGTGTATCCGCACATGCATGCACACGTGTTCACACTTCATCACTATTTCCACTGAGGAAATATTCCTCTTTCTTTCATGGTGATTCTGAGGGGGCCTGTCAATCACACAATCCCACCCTCTCCTAGCCACGGGGTTTGGCCTAGCTCCTCAGGATAACCTATCCAGTCAATGAGTGTGATAATCTAACAGGTAGACATGCACATCTTAGTCCTTCATGAGATTAGCTAGATATTGGGAATGAGAGAGGCTCTCTTTCTTTTAGTTCATGAACTATGGAGATAAGGAGCTGAGGCTGACCATATTCCTCTTTCCTGTCCCATAGAAAAGCTTCCATAACAATGAAGTTGTCATGTATAAGGAAGCAGAGCCCAGAAATAGGGAAACTGAGTCAGACAACTTTGTTGGAGACCCTAGATCTAAATGCTCTCAAAGTCTACCTCATGCTTTCACTTCTCAGGTGCATGAATCAATATTTACTTATTTATTCACTTACTTAAGCTAGCTTGAATTTCCTTTTGGTTTCTTTTAGAGAGAGGCTTTTACTAATAGACCTTTTCACAAGGAGGAGGCAGGAAGTGGCAGAAGTTTTTATCAGGACATTGGGGAGCATGGCACTGGGGATTTAGGAAGAGGTGTCTGATGTTCATGTGAGCCACAGACTTGAACTCCTAGGGCTTCCAACAAAGTTGGCTGTGATGGGTTATGTCCTGTTGTACCAGGGAAGAACTGCCATTGGTCACTGGCACTGTCACATGGGCCATGCTCAACTAAGGGCAGAAAGGGGTTTAAAAATGGAGTTTGACCTCTAGGACACTTACTTGAGGTATCGCTCCCTTGGAATCTGAAGGGTGAGTCCAAGGACAAATATTTCATAATTTACCAAAAGCAAATGTTGGAAATTTCTAGAAAGACAGAAGTCCATACGAATATTGTAATTTCCGTAAACAAAATTGGTTTAAGTTACAGTTTTAAGTAGAACCTCAGACGATTTATATAGAGAAAGAAGTGAGGAGAGGTTATTCTAAAGAGAAGGAAAACAATAAAATCTTGACATTCATTCGACTGTGAGAACCACAGACTGATAAGACAAGATGACAATTTTGGAGGGGGTCATGAGAAATAAGGCTGGTTCACTATAAGAAGGCTGGATTATGGTGCAGCTTCTCAGAAGTTTAAATCAGACTTAGTATAAAATAGGGGAGAAGGGTTTTTATATCACCAAATGGTATGAATTTAGCCTCACCTGTTTCATTTGTTTGCAATATAAATATAATCACACTTATTTTCTAGTTAGTTGTTTGAGTTTTCAAGTTTCCTTCTATAGCATAAGTTCCTCTCTTTCCCTTTTTGACATGTCCTGCCATACCCCCACCCCAACCCCACAACGAATTGTTGAGGAGCCAAAGGGCTTACTCAATACAAAGGAAATCAGTTCTGCTTCCACGTCTCACACAGGGAGAGAGATCTGTAAGGTCAGACTGGCCCATGTCCACCACTGGTTTGGTCACGGGCATCTCCCACTGTCAGATGCTTCTTGTCACTTCCTTCATAAGTGCCCTTGCAGGTCCACATACCTGCCCAGGATGGAGTGGTGACCAGTTTTCAGCTTCAGTGATCTAGATCATTGAAATATTTATTTTCACAGACACTTTCCAAAAACTGGTCCCCATATACCACAGTCGCTGGGTCTGAATTCCCACTGTCTCACAAGAAAGCTGGAGTACAGGGATGTCCTTTGAGGGTAAACTCAAAATTCCACACACTCTGCCTCCCAGCAGCTGATCACAGAGTACACTTTTCTGCCCTGCTGCAAATTGGTTACAGGTTGAATGATGCCAAGTGCTCTTGGTGATGTGAATAAACGGCAAGTTTTATAAAATGCTGGTAGGCGTACAAATTGCTACACCCACCTCAAAAAACAATTTCACATTTAGCAGAGTTCAAGATGTGACTGTGCTTATCCTAGATAATTCTGCTTGGAGATGTGACTATGCTTGTACTCCCTAATTCTCCTTCCTAAGGATCAGCTCTAGACAAGCATGCTCATGGCAGTATTGATGAAAGACGGGGAAATGACCAAACTGTTTAGCAAAGAAGAGTACGTAAATTGATACTGTCCTACAGTGGATTAAAAATCAGTGAAAATGAACAAGAGCTACACATGTCAACATTCATAAACCTCAAACAAGTTTGAGCAACAACACAAAAGCAAGTCCTAAAAGAATATGTGCAATCTGATGCCATATATCACATACCATTTCAAAAATATGAAAAACTGAGCAATATATAAAGATGAGGTACATGTGTGCTAATTCAATAAAGTAACGCAAAGATTAGTAAATACCAACTTCAGGATCCAGGTTAGCTCTGGAGAGGATGGAGAGCGCCATGGTCAGAGTTAGCTATATGGGGGGTTCCAAAGATAATAACTTTATATAACCCAGGCGACGCAAGTATCTGTTTTATTCTTCTTTAAACCATAGTCTATGCTCAATGTTTGGTGCATACCTATCTACATACAAACATTCATAATTTTAAAAAAACAAAAAACTCAAAGGATCATTTAAGTGGGCTCTGTAGCTCCAGAAGTACAAGACCAGTCAGAAAATCTTCTTGGCTCCCTCTTGACTCCCTGTCTTGCAAAACTCTTATGGCAGTGAAGGATCATCTGCATAAGAACCCCAGGGGCTTTCTGGGAGTGGAAAAGACCAAAATACCAATTCCTCCCTAGCTGTTCTCTGCAAACAACCACAAATACTTGTGATCAGATCATGAGACTCTGGGAGAGTCTCCTCACACAAAAGTCTTCCTATGGACGATGACCACTCACATCTCCCAGCACTTCAACCTCCAGGTCTCTCTCCTCCAGGGGACCATGGCTCTAGCGTGTAGCCTCCCGAGTAGCCATGTACTCTGCATTTGCTCAACATTTGTTCCCTTCCTGCTCTTCTCTCTTTCTTCACCTCCTTCCTCATTCCTTTTTTAAATTAAAACCTTCACTCTCTATTTGCCAAATTCTTAAAGCACATAGTAATAGAGAAGAAATGGGGTGAGAAAAGGACAAAAGAATAATAAATTATTCCCCCAAAACTGGTCTAAATATACTCATTGTGTCCTTGTAGGTGTTTGAGAGCAACAGAGCCTTCCTTATTAGATAAGTATAGCAAATGTAAAGTTGTGTCTTACATCAGGACTTATCAGTGTCTTTAAAACTCTAAGGGGAGGATCTGGTATGCTATTCATTTCCAAATTTGACCAAAAACATCCCTTCTTTTCTACCTGTCTTTCTTGAATAATAATATGTCCTGTGGAGAAATTATGGGAAATACTGAGTTGGAATTATGACCAATACTGTTCTCAAAGTAAAAGGAAAAGAAGTTAAATATTTTCTACATGAAATATTAGTAATAAAATATTTTAATTGAATTCTCCTACTTTCTACAGTGTATTCTTTGTTGCTAGGTGGATAGCAAATTCTCTATGGTAAATATTGCAGTTTAGTGAATATTTTCTCAACATAATCACCTTTAAAAAAAACTTACATCAAGCTTTCTCCCCCAGTACTGAATGAGTGTCTATTCTATATTAGGTACTATCTTAGTGCTGGAAACACATTTGTGAAAAACAGACCTAACTACTGTCCTCATGGAGCTTATATGTAAGAAAAATAAATGGTTAGAAAGTAATCCCATCTCTTAAACACACTTAACAGTAAAATAAGGAATACAATTTGAAGGCAAATTTAATGTGATTTTTTTAGTCCCCAATATATTTTTTAAATTATTATGACTCTACTCAAGTAACTATTAAAAGTAAAAATTATTGCATAGAGAAGAAAAAAATCATCCCGTCATAAAAAATTGACTTAGAACTTTTTATTTACTTGGTCCCTGCTCAAATATTTCCCTTCTGTTAATAGGAGCACATTGCATCATAGGACAATAACACCTTCATCCATCCAGGCTTTTAATTATTGTCTTTGCCTTTTATTACCTAAAGTTCTAGCAAATGTACTCAAATCCACTGTGAAGGCAAATTACTGATGCCACTGAGAATATGAGAATTAACACAACTGATGAAAATAATGATGGAAAAATACTATAATCAAATCTGATATAGAAAAGATCTGGCAGAATAAGAAATGTTAAAAAAGAAAAATAATTATAAGAATGATAAAATGAATTATTCAGGGGTGAAATATTAAGAGAGATGCTTGAGAAAAGGGTAAGCCCTCTAGTATCCTTCAGAATACCTCTTTGAGATCATCCTGTAAAAGCCAACTATGAAGGTAGTCAGACTCTTTTTTTTCTATTTTTAACTTTTTTAAATTTTTAATTTTTTTTCAGTGTTCCAAGATTCATTGTTTATGCTCCACACCCAGTTCTCCACGCAATCCATGCCCTCCTTAATACCCACCACCAGTCTCACCCAACCCCCCAGCCGCCCCCCCTCCAAAACCCTCAGTGTGTTTCTCAGAGTCCACAGTCCCTCATGGTTTGTCTCCCCCTCCAATTTCTCCCAACTCCCTTCTGTCTTCTTTACTTATTTGGAAAAGTACTATGCCAAAAGTATATATTGTTTTACCCTTTGTTCAACAAATTAGAGCACAGTTGAAAAGCAATCTAAATTTTGTTAAATATAAGCTATGTTTTCTTTTTTTTTTTTTTTTTCAGAATCTTAAATTTCATCTGTCAGGAACACATCCAGTCAACTTAATCATTATTTATTACTCATTTTTCTTCCTGTTTTAAAAGGATTCACTTCAAAAGCCTTTTCCACTATTATTCTCATATGATGATTTCCTACACTGGTATTCTTCTAGTTTAAACATAAGTCTAAAAGTCACACTGAAGTTTAGAGCTCTATTTTCTCAGTAAATGAGTTCCTAATTCTAGTTTTGGAAATTGTGGTTAGATGACTTAGCCATGTGCCTGAGGTTGCTAAAATACTGAACCTTTCATTTTTAATAGGATGATATTTGGCTCCAAGTACTATGCTCTTGCCACCAAAGCAATGAAAACAATAAGTCTCTGCGGTAGGCAGAATAATGGCTCCCCAAAGATGTCTATGGTCTAATCCCTGGAATCAGTGGATACGTTACACAGTGTACAGAACTTTGCAGATGAGATCATGTCAAAGATCTTCACATAGGAGAGAGTATCCTAGTTTACCCAGGTGGGCCCGATGTAGTCATAAGGGTCCTTAGGGTGGCAGGAGGGTCAAAATATTTAGATAGAGGCCAAGATCAGAGAGGAGAGGTTGGGCTGCAGGGAGCAGGGGCCTGTGAGGCAAGAAACACAGGTACTTTCCAAAAGCTTGAAAGGTAAGCAAATAGATTGTCCCCTAAAGCCTCCAAGTGACATGCAGTCCCACGGACCGATGTTAGACTTCTGACTCCAAAACTGTAGAGCAGTTTGTATTGCTTAAACCCACTAAAATTTGGTGGTAATTTTCTGCAGCAAAAGGAAACCAGTACAGTCTTGTTTAGAAATTTTTTTTTTTTTCCTGTTTTCTGTTCTGCTGAAAATGCAAGGAAAACTTAGCTTTCCCCTATCCAGGTCCCTTTTAGGAGACACTTGGCAAGAAACAGAGAAATGGCTTTCATTTTCTAACTGTACTTTTTTTTTTTTTTTTAAGATTTTATTTATTTGACAGAGAACACAAGTAGGCAGAGAGGCAAGCAGAGAGAGAGAGAGAGAGAGAGGGAAGCAGGCTCCCTGCTGAGCAGAGAGCCCCATGGGGGGCTCGATCCCAGAAACCCTGGCATCACGACGGGAGCTGAAGGCAGAGGCCCTAACCCACTGAGCCACTCAGGCGCCCCTTTCTAACTGTTCGTAATGGATCAGTTCAAAAGTCTTTCCTCCATGAGGCCTTAAGTCCATCCCCTGGCCTCTCATGCCAGGATGCTTTTATTTCAAGTGACCATAGGTCCATTCTGAAGGTGCAATGGGTGAAATTAATGACTATGCTGGGAAAAGAGGGATAAACTAGAACTGTCCTGGGACAGGTGGTCACCCAGCTTATATTCCCACCACAGTTCTCACGGCAGTTTGCTTTTGAATTAGTTAAGCACTTGTCTATCCCACCACTACTGCACCCCCGCCCCCCAGTCCTTTTGTCAGAGATAAGGGAAGTTTTCCTCTTTCTCTGTTCTCCGTGATGTATTTATCAGCATCATAACCCTCGGTATCCTGATCATTATAATAGCTACAACTCCCAGCATACTCACTACGTGTTAGACACACTGTGTACATCACATGTGGTAAGTCAGCCCTGGCAACAGCTAGGCAGGATGGCACTGATGTTATCCTCAGTTTATAGAACTATTATCGAGGCAGGGAGAAGCTAGGTAATATGCTCAAGGTCACACAGTGGGAAATGGCAGAACCAGGAGGCAGCTGTAGACGGCTGGCTTCTTTATCACTCTTGACTCCCCAAGTAGGACTTTTCACCAACACAGTATATGTAGTCATTTGAAAAGTGAAGGACACAGAATTTGGCACAATTACACCCCTAATTCTAATTGTTAATAGAGAAAAGGGTTTCGGCAACAAAGAATTTCAATGTAATAATTTGTGTTCTATCTAAACCTCTATGGCATGGGGCTGCTGGGTGGCTCAGTCGGTTTAGTGTCTGCCTTCAGCTCAGGTCATGATCCTGGAGTCCCAGGATCAAGCCCCACGTAAGGCTCCCTGCTCAGCAGGGAGTCTGCTTCTCCCTCTGTCCCTCACCCTGCTCATGCATTCTCTCTCTCTCTCAGTCTCTCTCTCAAATAAATAAATAAAATCTTAAAAAAAAAAAACCTCTATGGCAAATTAAAATAGCTATCCACACAGATATTGCCCCTGATGTTTTAAGAAGTCAATTGAAATTATTAGAATTAACTTGGGGAAATAGGAGTCACTAGAAGGAACATAGGAATTTTTTATTTTCCAGTTAAGATACATAAGTGACATACAGCACTGTAAAAGCATATAGCATAATGATTCATAATGATTCAATTTACCTATATTGTGAAATGATTAACAACTTAAAATAAGTTTAGTTAATATCCATCATTTCATATTTACCATATTTTTTAAATTAAAACTTTTTTTCTTTGCCATGACAATTCCTAGGATCTGCTCTTTTAACAGCTATCAAATATACAGTAGTGTTGACTATAGTCATTATGTTGCACATTAAATTCCCTGCAATTATGTATCTTATTTTTTCTTTAAAGATTTTATTTATTTATTTGACAGATCACAAGGAGGCAGACAGAGAGGGGAGATCATGAACTGAGATCATGACCTGAGCTAAAGGCAAAAGCTTAATCCACTGAGCCACCCAGGCACCCCT